ATTTGGCATTACTGTTAGCCCTGTTGAGTGCAAGACAAAAAGCTTCAGCAAATTTTCTCTCTCTTTTCAGCCATATTCAAGTTCTGTTTGTTCCAAAGTTAAGGGATTTCACTTAAGTGAAGATTGAAATTGAAAAAAACATGAAATTGGTTTTAGAGCATAAAAGGTTAAGATGACATTTAATAGAAGCATTCAAAATAATTAGGAGTTTTGATAAAGTAAATAAAGAGTAGCTATTTCCACTGTTAGGAACGTTGGTAATTAGAAAATACAGATTTAAGATAATTGGCAAAAGTGGGATGAGGAAAATTGTTTTTACACTGTGAGTTTTTAACACTTGGAAAGCAGTCTCTGAAAGCAATTGGCATTGGTAAGAACCAAAAGAACTGCTGGTACTGTAAATTAGAAACAAAAACAGAAGAAGGGAGGGTCACTCAACCCGAAATGTTAACTTTGATTTCTCTTCACAGATGCTGCCAGACCAGCTGAGCTTTTCCAGCAACTTCTGTTTTTGTGGCATTGATAAGAATTTATTTCTATGCAACAAGACTTTTGCAATACTGGTATGTGTGAAATGTTCTATATTGTAGTTTTATTTATTTAGGGGATGTTGGGTTCATAGCTGGGCCTGCATTTATTCTCCAACCCCAGTTGCCTTTGAGAAGGTGGAGCTGAGTCACCTTCCTGAACCACTGCAGTCCATGTGCTGTAGGTAGACCCACAATGCTATTAGAGAGAGAGTTCCAGGATTTTAAACCCAGCAACAGTGAAGGAACAGCAATATATTTCCAAGTCAGGATGGTGAGTGATTTGGAGGGGAACTTGCATATGGTGGTGCTCCCATGTATGTGCTGCCGTTGTCATTCTAGATGCTAGTTGAGGGCTTGAAGGATGCTTTTTAAGGAGCCTTGTAGAATTTTCGCAGTGTATCTTATAGATCATACGGACTGCTGTTACTGAGCTTCAGTGGTGGATGGAGTGAAATTTTGAGCATGTGATGCCAAGCCAATGGGCTGCTTTGTCTCAGATGGTATCAAACCTCTTGAGTCTTGTTGGATTAGCACTCATTCAGGCAAGTGGGGAGTATTTCATCACACTCCTGCCTTGTGCCTTGTAGGTGGTGGACAGGCTTTGGTGTCAGGAGATAAGTTATTCACTGCAGTGCTTATATAACTAGTCCAGTTCAATTTCTGATCAATGGTAACTCGCAGGGTAAAGATAATGGGCTACTCAGCAATAGTGTGCCATTGAATGTCATGGGTAGATGGTTATCTCTTGTGACAGATGGATATAGCCTGACATTTCTCTAGTGCAAAATGCTACTTGCTCTTTTTCAGACCAAGCCTGGATATTGTCCAGGTCTTGTTGCATCTGGACATAAGCTGCTTCAGTTTGAGGAATCACGAATGATGCTGAATATTGTAAACATTTCCCGTCGGACCTAATGATGGAGGAAAGGTCATTCATGAAGCAGCTGAAGATGTTGGGCCTAGGACACTACCCTGAGCCTGCAGCAAAGTCTTGGAGATGTAATGACTGACCTCCAACAACCACGACCATCTCCCTTTGTGCCAGCTAAGTCTGTAACCAGTGGAGAGTGTTCCTATAACTTCATTGACTCTAATTTTGCTAGAGCTCCTTGTTGTCCCATTCTGGGTCAAATGCAGCCTTGACATCAAGGGCAGTCACTTTCATCTTTCCTCTGGTGTTCAGCGCTTTTAACAATGTTCAAGTTAAGACTGTATTAAGGTTAGGAGCTAAGTAGTCCTGGCACTTAGTCAGTCAGCAGGTTGTTGCTAAGAAAGTGCTGCTTAACAATATTGTTGATGACTACTTTCATTCCATTGCTGATGTTTGAGAGTAAACCGATGGGGATTGTAATTGGGTTGGATTTGTCCTGCTTTTTATTCATGTACAGGACTAACCTGTTCAGTTTTACACATTGTCGGGTAGATGCCAGTGAGAGGAATATGAAATGCAATGTGCTGGTGAAGGAGTTAATTCTGATTTGCTTTCTATTTCCTCTGATTCAGTGCTCCCTCTTTATAACACGAGCTGAGTGTGAAAAGTGAGTGCAGCTCCCTTCAGTGGCTAATATTCAGCCCCATCGAGACAGACCAGACACCTTTTCCTCCAGTAATATGCTAGAATGCAAATATGATCACTGGACAGAAGAACAGCAAACAGTGTTCAGTGAAGAAGAATGTTGGAAATCAAAGTGAAAAGCAACGTTGTTTCTGAAGGGACTGTTCGTGCAGATTCAATACAACTTGCAGAATGTTGACTGACTGAATTGTAATTCACTGAAGGACATCTCCTGAATGTAAGTTAAATAACACAACACAATGTATAATTGTGATTATTAATTTAAAATATATAAATATTTATGTTCATTTACCAAAGATTCCACTTTGGGTTTCTAATTTGCAATTTATATCAGGTTTTTGTAGAAGTCCTATCTATTTCAATTCTTTTATGCAATTTTATATACAGGATAATATTATACTTGCTTCATTGTGTATGTTTTCATGTCCATATATAAAAGCGTGATTTTGTTTTGTCCACATTCATTTTTATGTGTTTTTAACTGTATGTATGTGCCTTCATGGGGCTATAACAGAAAAACAAATGGTTATGTTTCTGGATATAAAGAGGGAGATGGACTCAAGTTAATATAAATAGTCAACAGAAAACTGATTAAAAATGCATATATAAAACCAATGTAGAAACCTAGTTATAGAAATGTACAGGAGGATGAAACTAATAGTTAACCAAAGTAACGTAATCCAATAACTAGATGAACATCAGAAGCTGAATGTAAATCACATTACCAAATGGAGATAGGATTGTGATGAGATTGAAGATAAAAAAACAAATTGAGGAATTGATAAGTAAACCTACTGTTATTTAATTGAACACATCAGTATTTCCTGTTGTAGCTTTCACATTAAAGGTTGGGTGTGGTTACCTTATTTTTGTTGTTATATCAGTATATAACAGTAAAATTAAATCAATTATTGGAGTCTGGGCATAAAGAGGGGGGACTCAGGTTGCAGTATAGTGTGATTGGCATTCACTGGACTGGCTGGAGCATTTTGGTGTGAAATTCCAGACAAAGGTGATGCAGCAAGCCTCTAGCCCACTGTAGCCCCTACTCCACTCCAACAATCCCCAACCCACTCTAGCCCCTACTCCAC